ACTTTGACTGCACGAATAGCTGCACAATGTTGTGACATATCGTATACGGCCGCGCCGCGGTGCAGGTCCCGGCCGCCCAGTGGCGCTTCGAGCCTACTATGAGTAAGAAACTACGAGCAGCAATAAACGGCTCTGACTGTGAGTAGAACCCCTTCATGTTTTAAAAGTGGCGCAAGGTGCTTCGACGCACGAGGCGCGTGCGACGTGCAGCCCTTGGGAAGATCATGGCCGCACAGTGCAACACTGAGCTAGATTTCAGGCGCCACGTTCTTCCCAATAGTGGCGAAGGGCATGTGTCTCGAGCATTTCCACGACAATGAATGGCGCCCCTTTTCCCAGGATGGAGGGTCTTTAACTATGATCTAAAGCCCCTCTATCCTGGAAAAAGTGGCGTCATTCATTGTCGGCGAAATGCTCGAGACACATGCCCTGCGCCTCTATTGGGAAGAACGTGGCGCCTGAAATCTAGCTCCGTATGGCCTTCCAGCCACCATTAGCGATGTACGCGACCAAAAGCGTCGCTGCGGTCAGCTTTCCACGATTGGCCAGACCATGGGCATATGAGCATTGTCAGATTATCAACTTTGACGGTGTTCCGGTTGCGATGGTTCTTAGCTTCCACTGTGCTCATTAAACACACCATCGAACTCGTCGTCACACCTGGTGCTAAGTAGCCAGGGTAACAACTGCTGGACGTCACGGCGAGGCAAATCCCAGTCGTGACGTCACGGATGGAAACCATTAGAGTGCGCCACCGAAATATCTCTGCGCTAATAGTGCTGCGTTGTGCTGCCGTGATCTTCTCAAGGGCCGCACTCTGCACGTGGCTCTTGCATCGAAGCACCTTGCACTACTTTTAAAACATGAAGGGGTTTTACCTATGTGCCAGTGCCGCGCTTTTGAAAAATATGTGCTATCATGCCTCACGGGAGAGACCGTAAGACAGCGAGCGCGTATTCATAGTCCTGGCGTACTAGATGCTCTGCCTGGCAGTACGCGCTCGTTGTCTTTCGACGGGCTCAGGCTACGCGTTCGACGAAGTGTTATCAGAGGCAGAAGAGTATGCGCTCGAGTCGAAGCATCTACTACGTTTTGAACCTTTCACCGACTATCGCTTATTTTGTCTTAATTATTTATTTATCTATTTATTTATTTACCCTAAAGGCCCTCACGGGCATTAAACAGGAGGTTGGGGAACATTGCACAGTAATTTGGAATACAAAATCAAGCAGCAACTCAAAAGAAAAAGATACAATTGATACATACAGCAAAACACTTCACGCATACCGGCCATTCCAGCAGTAATTGAATATATATTGTCAAAACTTGTTAATACAAACCCCGTTAATATGGAAGCCCCCCTGTATAGACACCAATTTTGGGGACAAACTGAGAAAATACATGCATTTTTGTCTCGTTATTATGAACATCTGGCCTTATGGACGATTTTTGTGAGAAACGCAGGTGTCCATAATAACGAGACATCACTGTATATCTATCGGACATTTTCTATATGTGCACAAAACAAGAAAAAACGAAAATGACAATTCCACTTAACCTATCTAAGCTTCATCATGTTTAGGGTGGCAACAAAAGACTGATGATCACTGATGGAGGCAATTTCCCTCCTAAGGCTGTTCTGTTTCAACCCGAAATAACAAGAAGAGGCGAATTTTCGAACATGATAGTTCGTGCGTATTTGGGGATAATTAAAAAAAAAGAGTGATCTAAACGAAGTACAATTGGTGAGTTGTTCGAAAAAAAACATATTTATAAGCTGAAAGCGCGCAAGATGCCTTATGGTATAAGAGGTGATATGTCGATGTTTTATACTGGTTACACACTGGTAAAGCGGCGAGTTACGAACTTTTTGAGTGATTCCATACTATATCTTGGATATGATTGGTGAGAGTGTCAAATGATAGATGCATACTCAAATTGGGAACTCACAAGAGCAGTGTAGACAATAAGTTTTGTTTATGTGTTTGCCTGAGAAAGAGTATGTTTGAAAAAGCCAGTAGTTTTCGAGGCTTTGTTGGCAATATGTTGAATGTGAACGTTCCAGGTAAAATAAGATGTGAGAAGAACGCCGAGATAATCAATTGGTGGCAAAATTTCTATATGATCATTTCCGACTAAGTCTTTTGTACAGTGGAATGTCATTTTGTAGTGAATGATACAGCTTTCGTTTTGTTAGTATTTATTTTCATCAACCACGTGGCGTCTGAGATAATGTACAAGTCATCCTGCCAAATGCTATGATACAGAGGACCCGTAATTGTACGATAAATGACAATCATATGTGGACTGACGATTGCAATATTGGACATTAAAATGGAGATCACTGATATATTCCAGAAAGAGCACTGTACCAAGTAACCGTCCCTGGGGGACACCGGATTTCATCATATTTATCCTGTGACATTCCTCTTACTAATAGTATACGATTTATATAATACCTTCCTTTATGTAATGACCCATCGGGGCCTTTATACGTAACTAAATGGCGACGTGTGCGGCCAAAGACGTCGCTGTAGGGACAAATCTTATATGTCCAGTTTCCCCGCTAAATTTGGCGGTGTTCAACGATAAATGGCATCACATTCATAGATTATCACACCTGTGCTATCTACAAATTTGTCTCAACCATCCATTTGCTGCCCTGTAATTTAAGGCTATCAGTGACTATAAAACATTATATGTTTTGGTTTTAAGACACGGTGAAACGAAGAAGGCAGTTGTTTTAATGTTATAACATTTTTTTGCGTGGCATATGCTTTTGTAAAATGCGCAGAAAGAAAATAAAAAAATGGGATTTTGAGAAAATCGATTTCAAAATTGATACTTTTTGGTCTTAGCATAAGATTAATGTAAACGTTCCGCAAAGGAAATTTTCTACAGCTGAGTGAATTTATAATATATATAAAGAGGGTTTTTTGGGCTCTCCATAAACATAAAAAATATCAATGTAACCCAAGTAGATCGCCAGTATTTAACTGTCAAAATTCATCAACAATGAACCAAGGGGGCGTTTTTTACATTTTTACAGAAAAAAAAAAGCAAAGCGCCTAAATTTAATTTATGACATTAGAGCCTTTTAACTGTGCTCACAAAGTGCTTGAAGAAAGTTAATATGATGTGGACTGAAAATCCACGACGGAAGATCGAGCGAAACATCCGACCCACGACGGGTGCGAAAAACACTGCTTTCCGCCGCGGCCTCTTTTAAAGTTCGGAAGTCGAGAACAAAAAATCTGACGAACTTGCGATTTGTGGCGACTGCGTTTTTAGAGCCGGCGCCATAACATATATTTTTTTCAGCGAAATTAAAAATTCGACCTTTTTTGCCTGCACGATTTGAGATGAAATCACACATGAAGGCCGGACTCCGGCCGAAACGTCGAAGAATAAATCGTCCATTGTTGCTGTTTTCACTAAAAATTTTTTCTTAAAAAAACCTTTTTCTTAAAAAACCTTTTTTCTTCTCAGTTATATACCCACGTCTTCGGCCTCCCGCCACCATGGCCATTATATATATATATATATATATATATATATATATATATATATATATATATATATATATATATATATATATATATATATATATATATATAACTTGATCGAATAAATCAATGTCGTATGAAACCCCCGAAAGCCCAAAATAAACGGCGAACCAGGATTTGAACTCTGGGCCTTCCAATGTCCGGTCGGGTGTATATATATCGAAATTAAAACATATTTATTAGACGACGTTCCGAGCGGAGACCGCTCTTCGTCAAGCCCGCCACTTTGACACGGCGGCCGAAAAAAAAAAGAACGAGGAAAGGTGATGAACAACTTTTCAGAACCGACCATTGGTGGATAAGGGCTGCGGCCAGGGAAGGGGAATGCATGATGTCCCCAGCGAGCCCCGGGCGGCCATGAAGAGCCAGCAGGGACACAGGAGCAGCACGGACGCGAACCGAGACGCGGGAAGGTTCATGTTACACAATAAACACCACTCCCCTTCCGCACATCCACACATCCAGCAGGCCGTATACTTGCAAACGCGTTTGCATTGCAACTACGGCCTCTGGGTGCCGCCATCTTGCTGATGGCGTGGTTAGATCGTCTGATAGTCGTGCATCCCTGAGGCCTACCCACGGTTTCCAGACTGGCGCCCAGACGAAGCGTTTTCCACCCACGGTGGCCAGCGTATATCTCTCGAAGCGAAGCGGGTTGCAAACGTTTATAGAATCCTTTCAATGGCGCTCTGACGTCTCCACACGGTCTCATCTCCTCCTCTGATTTAGTTTGTCTCCGCAAATGGCGCGTGAGCGAAATGCTCGCGATGTCCGACGTACCACGTGAGCCGCTTCTTCAAACTTTAACGTGTCGCGTGTCGCGTTGCTTTCAATCGGTCTGGAATCTACGCGAAGCGGCTGAAAGAGACCCTGGAATGTTGCATTAAATCGTGCCCAGAACGTCTTGCTCTCGAAAAACTTCGGGGGCAGTACTGGAATCGCCGGGTGTACCTGCACATAATTATATCAATGATTAAGTAAACATAAATATTTCGCTGAAATCGAGGATGAAACATCCGTGTGAAAAGAAATAGAAATAATGTGACATTAAATGTGACATTACGATAAACCACGGTGGTTCTTCTCATGCCAATAGAATCGATTCTTCTTGGTTCCACAATGCTTTTAGAGCGCAGCTCTTAGGCACCCGTTTCCGGCTTGAGCGGCGTCACCGTTGACGTAACCGTTAAGGTCACGTGACCTCCCCCTCCCCGAGGTCACGTGACCCCCCCCCCCCCCCCCGAGGTCACGTGACCCCTCCACCCCGAGGTCACGTGACCCGTGACATCGGGAAGGGTGTTGCAGCAAAGCCACCTAGAGGAGGAAAGCCAGGGGGCTCCCGCGATCACGTGGGTCTACGTCACCGCTACTCGGCCTACGGTTCGGCCGCGGTGTAGTTCCGTTCCGGCTCGGCAGATAGAGCCGGCTTGCTTCGGCGTCTTTCCAGAACGTTCCGCGGCTTCTTTCGGCGTGTTCGGAGACGCTTGGTTTTGTCTCGGCTGTTTTCTTTGTTTGTCTTGTTTTAAACGTCGCACAACTTGTGAGTGCTCTGCGTTTTGTGCGCGATGATCAAGTGCTCTTTCCGTCATGCCTGACAAATGCTGTGTGCCTCGGTGTAACGGTAATTACAAAACGGGGCCCAAAGTGCACGTGTTCGGACTCCCCAAAGATGAAGCGCTGCGGAGTGCCTGGATAAACGCCATCCCCCGAGAAAACCTGATCGTTTCCCAGAGAACGAAGGTGAGGAATTCCCATTTCCAATTGTTTATCTCGCATTCGTAGTGGCATAGCGCCATTTGGACGGGCTAGCAATAGAAGGGTTGTGGGAATAGGCGATAACGGCGACGTGTAGCGCGTTTAGTGGTAAGTCGCTATTATTTATACGAAGGGTATATATCTTTATAGGTGTGCGAGCGTCACTTCTCCGACGACGACGTTCTTCGGGAGGTGTCTCACGTCGACGAAGTTACCGGGAGGACGGTGACTGCGCCGCTGTCTAGGGTGCGCCTTCGCCCAGGCGCAGTTCCATCGAAGTTCCCTGGCTGTCCAGATTATTTGTCGAAGCACCATGCGAGAAGAGAAGACCCGGACAGCAAGCGATTGCGTCAAGAGGCTTCTGCAATGGAAAGAGCGCTTGCAGAGTCGATCGATTCATTTCGCAATGAGGAAGAAGCGGACCGAATACTCAGCATAAAGGACTTGTCCGACCACTTGAAAAACGTAAAATCGGCATTCTGGCATGTTATTGAGGGCAATGGACACCTCACTCTGGTGCACATTGTTGAGACTGAGGCCCCTTGGATAAAATACTCGATCGTCGTGAAGCCTGACCTTACACTAACTCTACATTTTGCGAAGACTCAGGTCACAAGGTTGGGCTCCAACTTGCTCATACCAAGAATCGCAAACAGCAAGAGGGGAGTTGTAGAACTACTCGAAAGTGTCGAAAATTGGGACAACGATCTTGAGTCAAGCTCTGAAAGCTCGCACAACGATATCTGTGCCACGATTCGTTTTCTGCTTGACAAGCTGCCCGCAACGCAAAGCGAAGATCAAGCAGCGGTCATCCAACTGCTCGCCGAGCAACTGAAGCTGATTTCTTCCAAGAAAGAGCGAAGGCGTTATTCAGTGGATTTTATGGTGTTTGCATGCATTCTTTTCACAATATCGCCTCATGCATACCAGTACATCCGTAGCTCTGGAAGCATTGTTCTGCCACACCCTAGGACAATCCGATCGATATGCTCCTCGTTTGGAATGAGCCCTCAAAACGAGCAGCAAAGTTCAAGTTTTCTCAGCTACATGGCAAAGAGGATCTCTGACTTGAACGATGACCAACGCTATGTGACCTTGATGGTGGACGAGGTCCACATCAAACCGTTTTTTGATTATAAAGGAGGTAGCATTGTCGGTGTCGCACTTAATTCCACAGAAGTAGCGAATAGTGCGTTCGTGTTTATGGTGCAAAGCATCAAGTGTCAATTTAAGGAAGTCGCTCACGTCGTACCCGTGCACGGAGCCAACGCCGAGTTTCTGCACAAGTTGCTTAGAGACGTGATTTGCGGGCTCGAGAAAATCGGGTACCGAGTGATGTGCGTCGTAACGGATAACAACGCAGTGAATCGAAAGGCTATGGCTCTCTTTAAGAGCTCGATGGACAGCCACGACACGCCTGGTACAACAACGCGCAACCAGGACACGCCTGACACAACGATGCGTCGTTCAAACGAGTTCTGCTACCCACATCCGTCTGATCCCAACAGGCCGCTGTTTTTTGTGATCGACACTGTACACATAATCAAGTGCATACGCAATAATTGGCTGAAGCAAGACGATCAATGCTTCTGGTTCCCCGAGCTTCATGCTGACACGGAAGGCCAGCGGCGCATGCTGTGTGCGTCGTTCAAAACCATCAAAGCTGCCTACGACTTGGAATGTGACCAACTGCTGCGCTATGGATACAAAGTGTCAAGGAAATCCCTTTGCCCGTCGAGTATTGAGAAGCAGAACGTGAAACTTGCTCTCCAGATATTTGACAGCTCTCTTCCCAGTGCCCTCCGTGCCATTGGAGAGAAACACAACCTGAAGTTTTTCAAGGAGACGGCCACTTTCATTGAGATTATAGTAACGTGGTGGAAAATTGTCAATGTAAAGACACCCGGCAAAGGAAGCAGGCTGAAAGATCGGTTCCAAGAACCTGTGCGCCCGGCTCCAGACGACGAGAAGGTAGATTTTCTCTACGACATTTTAGACTGGTTGGACGAATGGCAGAAAAATGCAAACAACTGCAAATTGACCGACAAAACTCATACCGCACTGCACCAGTCAACTTACGCGCTTCTCGAAATATGCAGGTACTGCTTCGAAGAACTCAACCTGTCCTACGTCCTCCTCGGGAAATTTCAGACGGACTGTTTAGAGGACCGCTTCGGAAGGTACCGGCGGCTGGCAGGTTCCCAATACCATATCTCAATACGACAGCTTTATGAAGGAGAAAACAAGTTTCGGCTGCAGAACACACTTGCACCGATTGGCAAAGCTTCTGAAACAGAGAGAGATGAAAAATGGGAGGAAATGCAAAAACGACGAGACGCGCCGCGCCCTAGCTACAACATAGTAGTAACAGAAGACTCCCTTTCAAAAATAAAAGACATCGTCCCCGTTCTAGCCTATGTGGCAGGATATGCGGTGTACGCGACGGTGAAGAAGCTAAAGTGCGAGTACTGCAAAAATGCCCTGACAACAGACCACACGATCACAGCCGCCACCGGCCATGAGCACTATCATCTCATCAAAGAGATTGACAAAGGAGGCCTTCTGTACCCAGCAATGACCGCAGTCAATGCCGTCGCCCACAACTACGTTGTCGTGGAGGAAATGTCGAAGCGGGTGGACTTCTTAACGATGAGCAACCAACGCCAGCTGGTCACGGAGCTCACACTGGACTTGCTAGTCGACGAGGATTGCGACTTCGATGTGTGTGAAGAAGGACACACGAGTGAGGTCGTGCTGAAACATCTGTTGTGGTGCTCTACAAACATTCTACTAAAAAACTTTTGCCGCAAGCTCAACGACAAAGTTGTCGAAACGAACAACAAATCTAAGAAACGAAAACTGGCCACGTTAACAAAAAAATGATGTGGATATTCTAGCATGCACAGTGACAACCGTTTTGTTCGAGATTTCTAACGCGCGAGTCAATAAACACGCGTTTGTGCCGAAAAACTGGAGTAATTGCTACCCTTGAGCGCTGCTCCGCGGCGCGCTTCGGCTTCGCCTAGGCCGACTAGCGTGACGTCACGCGCGGAGAGCCCCGGCCTTCCGCTCTAGGTGGCTTTGGTTGCAGGGGGAGGAGGGGAGAATCAGAAGGTGAGGAGGAGTAGCAGGCAGGATCACGAGGTGAAGTGGAGGGAGGAGGGGTATACCCTCTTCTCAGTACCCTTCCCTCCTCCTCCTCAAGAGCTGCGCTCTAATACGGTGTTACAGGAGGTTGTAAACGACATTCTTTTTTTTTTTCAGTTTATGTAAAGTACATATAAAAAGTAGTAGAAGTGGATTACAGAATAAGTGAGAGGTTATGTACTTCAAGTAAACCAGTAAGTACACCGGACTCGTGTAGTTGAAGGAAAGCACTATAAAATACAACATACAGGGGCAGGCGCGTTGCCAGGTGTTCAGATGTCAGAACATCCCCCGAAATTTTACTTTATTATTATATATATATATATTTTTTTTTTATTGTGTGTGTGATTGGACCAGCACCTTGAACAACCCCCGAAAATATTTTCTGGCTACGCCACTGTACAGGGAGTTTCCGAGAAACGAGAATCGCACTTTTGGCCAGGGTATATAAATATGCATCATAGATAACTCAAGCTCCGCGAGATTGTGATGCTGGTGGTCGGAACAGAACGCGAGAGGTTGAGAACATGACGTAACCTTGACCAAAAAATAATTGAGAAATACAAAATTTCTGTTGAGCCGACGTCCACTTAAGCCTAATATTTTTAACACGAGAAATGACACTCCGGAAACATGTAAAATTTATTTCAAGAAAAAATAAAAAAAACTCAGTGTGAAAGAGGATATTGCTTTCTTTCTTGCTTACAAGTTTCTTTTCCCTGAAATAGGTACTTCAAGCGCTCACAGTGTCAATCTTTCGTTTTGACAATATTAGGTTTAGCGGTATGTCGGCTCATGAAGAAATTTCGTTTTTCTCTATTATCTTTTGATCCGGGTGACGTCACGTTCTCAAACTTTCGCGTTTGCTACCAACCGCTAGAGTCAAGTTCTCACGCAGTTTGAGCTTTCTGCGATGTTTAGTATATTTACCCGAGCCGAAAAACACGGTTCTCGTTTCTTGGAAACTCCCGTACTTTCGAAGTAAACTACTGATACTTTTTATCACAAGCTTCAATGATACGCTTTAATTCCCTAATGCAATGTTGTTGTTCTTTTGTGTTTTTTTTTTGTTTTTTTTAACTGGTGTGCAATGCCCCAGGGTATTGGGATGGATCGGTTATTTCCGGAAGGGCCGCGAATATTGGATGAATTCAACTGGCGAGAGAATAGTTTTTTTTTTAATTGGCGCCAAATTTAGAATTTGCTCTGACTTCTGAATTTCCACTCAGCTTGCACTCAAGGGGATTAAACTGGGTTAAGCGCACTTATACCCCTGTCAGACGGCACCTAAAACGGCACTTACGCCAAATGACATTCACTCTAAATGTCATTTAGGCACTGCCACACGGCAACTCAAATGGCATTTAACCTAAATGCCATTTCAGGTAAACTGAGTTCCCCGAACTCATTTACGGCTCGCAAAGCCTACTCTCGTCGGCAGCGCTCGACACACAGGTTACGGAATTTTGAAAAAAAAAAACACAAAAAAAAAACACGACAATTATTTGCGGAAACTATTTTTACATCATTTTAGTTGCAAAAATAATGTGTTTAACGTATATTTCGCACATACTTTACGCTCCTAATTGTTTAACCTATTCACGGCTCTAGTTATCCAGTAGACCTAATGGCTCTGAACCTGCAGTCTGCTTGCCTCGGTCAGCGCTCGGCTGGTTGGTTATGATCGCGCTCCACATTTACGCGTTTTTACGATGTCGCCAGGCAACATCTGCCGCGAAGCTACGTCTGCCGCGAAGCAACGTCTGCCACGAAGCAACGTCTGCCACGAAGCAACGTCTGCCTCGAAGCAACGACCACCTGTCAACTGGACCACCCAAGAGACCTCGGCACTCAAGCCATGTGAGACGACCGCCTCGAATGTCCTCGGTAGCAGAAGCAGAACGGCGGGTTTTGCGCCGGCATACGAGCGTCTTTAGAAGCTCTCGGGTTCCTCAAGACATGCCAAAGTCTATCACAACACCAAAACCTCAAGAAACATGCTTGGGTAAGATATAACATTGGTGGTGGGCGTAACCTGCCAAGTCAACAGGAGCACGCAAAACAGTTAGCAGGAGGGACGGCCGCCCAATAGCTGTTTTGCTTGTGTAGGCCGTCGTAGCACTGCGTACCTCAAACAAGTTCATGTCACAACCGGCTTGTTCGTGGTTCATAGCAGCGGTCTTCGCATAGCAGCGTTTTGAATTTCGCGTTTCTTGCTCAGGAAACAGCACCCGAGGTTGGCTGACATGCCTTGTCAAGTGTAGTGCTACCTCCGGGAAGATTCTGGCAAGAATGCAACACGACGAACAGAGGTTACTTTTTTTTAAAGGGTGCAAATCTTGTAAAGGGTCTGTTCGGACTCGTCGCATACGCGGTCGGAGGCCTTCTTGGAGATTCCTAGCTTGCACATTGTCTTCAGGTTGACAATGAAGCACACGGAACCAGAGTTTACCTCCACAGGTACTTAATTTCCGTTGACCATGAAGGCTGGCAGGCCACTCGCAATGTGGTAAGGTGCTGACAAATCGGGACGCGCATACAGCCTGGCGTGTCCCGATTTGTCAGCACTCGATTTTACTGGGCGGTTGTCGCTGCACTTGGCTCGGTTCCTTGCCGCTTCCTTCTCACGGTAGGCTCGGGCGATGTGTTCTTTCTGCTTGCAGAAATAGAATTCCGCATTGCGGAAACCACAGTTCGTAGCGTCATGGTCGCCGTTGCAGCGAGAGCATCGCCGTGTTACTCACTCTCGAGGAGGCTTCGGTGTTCCGTCCTGCTTGCTGACACCTTTGGGCATTTGCTGAATGCGATGCAAGTCAGACGTCGACGACGCCAGCCACATGCACGCCCCCCCCCCCCCCCCCCCCCCCCCCCCGATGTGTTGTGGTTGCCGCATGGCATACTCCGAAGCGACAGCAGTCTCAAACCCCTTCTTGAAGTTCAATGTTGGTTGGGCAAACATATGATGCTACACCCCTTCGTCCCATGACGCCGCACACGAGATGGCCTCGTAGCATGTCTGACAAGGTCTCATCAAAGTCGCGGTGTTCGGAGAGGCGGCGCAGGGCTGCGACAAAGTCTGCTATGGTTTCTCCCGGCCGCTGGCTGCGCTTATAAAACACAAAGCGCTGGGCAATTACGACGGGCGCGGTGTTGAGCTGCGACACAACGTCCGCGTAGGGAGTCTCTACCGGCATCACCGGCGCACACGACCAGCGTATGATGTCGAAGGTTGCCGGTCCACTAACGCTACAGAGGACTGCGCATTTTGGGGGCTCCTCGACGACGTTGCTCGCGGTAAAAAAAAAAAAAAAAGTTGAGACGCTTTTGGCTTAGGGGCCAGGCTTCAGCCTTGTCCGAGTCTAACTCTTCGAGATGTCCCAGCTACTCCATGACGACAACGTTGGGCTCATCCTTTTCCACCATGTGCTCTCGTCATCGCCAAGTCGCCATAAAGTTGTCATTGCTGCCAAAAGTGCTTTTGCGTGCCCCGGAGGTTGAGGTTATTCTTCTTCGTCGCCACTTGTTATGTATTCTCCCCAAAGCCTTTATTCAGGCGGCTGTTTTGGCCAGAGAGAAAAGAGGAGCTACACAAGAGGCACGGTTCATGGCGAGTCCCCGGAATGGAGAACAGTTCGGTAAAACCAGCTTGGCTCGTGTTGGCTTGACTTCTGCTGATTCGTCGATGTTCCCAGACGCAAACACATGACACTCACTATGCTAGCTTCCGTTTCACTTTAAGTGCGAGCTCCAGGATTTCAAGGCCCTACTAAGCATGCTCGCCCATGTAATGGAAGCATCGTTCAGGGAAACAGGCTCATGATCATAGCGTCGGCTTCGCTCGTGCATGAAGTAGATGAAACCATAGTCCCTGTGTCCACTCTAATTATCTAAGCCAGTAGTAGGTTGAAATGTATTACTACAAGAAGTTGGTAGTGATGCCGAGAAGTGTGGGAGGGTCGTCACATGCACGGAAGCGGCTGATCGACGTGCAGTTCCCTGCAAGATGATTTCCTGGGGCGGGTAAGGCTCGAGCGAGTTTGATGTCAGCAGGAACACGTGGTTACACAATTTCTAAGGGGACACGGCGGTCCTGTTCACTGTTTCCTAAATGCTAGCCGCTGCCAACCTCCGGAACATGGTCATGACACTGCCTCAGCATATCTTAACGTTCAGATACCGAAACTGGTAGCAGTGGTCTAGCAGAGCCAGAAAAAAGTTGCAATGCAACAGATGCATAAGTCTTCTAGGAATAAAACATTTTGCACCTTAGACATATAATTCTCAAAATTTGAGATCAAATGGGGAAGTAGAGCAATCAAAATTACACCATGCAACTTGTTCCACGGAGCTGGCGAGGAACATTTCTTGGAAACTTCCCAGAATCGATAATTATCTGTTGCTTATAAACATAGTATTCAAAGTGATAGAAGCTGGTACTCTCATCTCGTATTTAGAAACTGTTGTTTAGTCATTTTCACCTTGTCCAGCATGCAGACCAATTCCCGTTTTATTACAATTGGGAAGACGATCAGTTCAGTTCTGGTTTATTCACATCAAAGCCCGTTAAATAATAAATTTTTAATGTTTCCAGGAGCTATATCAGTCAGTTTTGAGCGACAATCAGTAATTGAAAGACAAGTGATTATTTCTGCTTGTACATTTGTGAGCTTGAAACAAGATCGCCTGAAATTTCTAAGCTAGAAAAAACATGTAGTGATATCTATTCTACTAATTCAAACATCAATAATTCTTAATAAAATGTTTTTCGTTACAATAATTTTTTTATTTCCCGCGTATTTTGTAAAAAGGGCACTTACTACCCTATGTTATTTTGGTAGCCTCTGGCGCTGGAACTTGATGTCACAGGCGGCAATCATCCAGCGACTCTATGACCTGCGGGAATCTT